TCTAAGAACATTATTTCTCATCGTAAACAAGTGAGATCTGTTCTCACCCGCCTGTTACAGAATGGACTATATGTTAAGGCTGAGAAATGTGAATTTCATGTCTCTTCCACATCATTCCTTGGTTTTGTTGTGTCCCCCAATAGGATCGAGATGGATTCCAGCAAGGTCTCTGCTGTGGTGGATTGGCCCGTTCCTAAGGACCGCAAACAGCTTCAACGTTTCTTGGGGTTTGCTAATTTCTATAGACGTTTTATCAAGGGCTACAGTATCATCGCTAAACCCCTTCATGAACTCACTTCTACCAAGTCTCGTTTTTCCTGGTCCACTGCAGCAGAGACCGCATTTACCGAACTTAAGAGACTTTTTGTTTCTGCTCCCATCCTGCAGTCCCCCAATCCAGAGGAGCCGTTTGTAGTGGAGGTGGACGCTTCCAGCATTGGTGCGGGGGCGGTTCTTAGTCAGCGCAATAAGGACGGGCGTCTTCACCCTTGCGCCTTCTTCTCCCGCAGCCTTTCCCCGGCAGAAAGGAATTATGATGTTGGGGACAGAGAGCTGCTTGCTGTTAAGCTCGCTCTGGAGGAGTGGCGTCACTGGCTGGAGGGTTCCAGGTTCCCGTTCCAGGTATGGACTGACCACAAGAACCTGGAATATCTCAGGTCCGCTCGTCGCCTTAATCCTCGTCAGGCCAGGTGGGCCTTGTTTTTTTCTCGATTTAATTTCACCCTCTCTTATCGACCCGGGGAGAAAAATGTAAAGCCCGATGCCCTGTCTCGCATTTTGGAGGAGGATAATTCCCCCTCAGCTCAGGAGGAGAATTTTATCCTTCCTGAGAGTGCCCGCCTGGCCATCACCCAGTTAGAGCAGGACCTGAGAGACCTCAGCCAGACACGTCCTCCTCCAGCTAACTGTCCACCTGATCGTTTATATGTTCCACCCGATATGGTTAAACAGGTCATTTGTTTTTGTCACAACTCCCTGCTGTATTGTCACCCAGGTTTTGCCAAGACCCTTTTCATTGTCAGGTCCCAATTTTGGTGGGAGACCATGTCCAGGGACGTTCGCCTGTACGTTCGGTCTTGTCCAGCCTGTGCTCAGTCCAAGACCTCCAGACGATCTCCATCGGGACTTCTTCGCCCCCTTCCTTGCCCTTCACGTCCCTGGTCTCATATAGGCATAGACTTTGTAACTGGTCTCCCACCTTCTAACAATTTCACTGTCATCCTCACTATTGGCGATCGTTTCTCCAAAATGATTCATCTGGTCCCCCTCCATAAGTTATCGTCCTCTAAAGAACTGGCTCACGTCATGGCTCGTGAGGTTTTCAGGCTTCATGGGTTGCCTGTAGACATTGTTTCTGATCGGGGGCCTCAGTTTGTCTCCCACTTCTGGAAAGAGTTTTGTGATCTTCTGGGTATTTCCATTAGCCTCTCCTCGGGCTTCCACCCTGAGACGGACGGTCAGACTGAGAGGGCTAATCAGGAGGTGGAGGGCAAACTGAGGCTCCTCTGTCTTAACGACCCCGAGAAGTGGAGCTCTGCTCTCCCGTGGATCGAGCACGCCTTCAATTCCGTCCCTTCATCTGCCACTGGTCTGTCCCCTTTTTATACTGTTTTTGGTTTCCAACCGCCTGTTATCTCTGTTCAGGAGAGGGAGGCATCTGTTCCCTCGGCCCACCTCGCCGCTCTCCGTTGCCAGAGGGTGTGGAGGAGGGCCAAGACCGCCTTGCTTAAGTCACGTGCTGCCTACTGTAAAAAAAAGGCTGACCGCCATAGGACCCCCCAACCTGAGTATGCTGTGGGTCAGAAGGTGTGGCTCTCCACGAAGAACCTTCCCCTGAAGGTTGCTTCTCGCAAACTTGCCCCCCGCTTCATTGGTCCTTTCCCCATCTCCAAGGTCATTAACCCCGTGTCTGTTCGTCTTACTCTGCCCAAGTCCTTACGTGTCCACCCCTCTTTTCATGTTTCGTGTGTCAAACCTGTCTCCTCCTCCCATTTTCATTCCCCTGTTGCGTCCCCCCCTCCCGCCCGTCTGATCGATGGTTCACCGGCTTACACCATCCGCCGGCTCCTCCGTTCTAGACGGCGGGGTCGGGGTCTGCAGTATCTCATTGATTGGGAGGGGTACGGACCAGAGGAGCGGTCCTGGGTGCCTTCCCGTCACGTCCTGGATAAGCCCTTGATCCGGGACTTCCATCGCCTGCATCCTGAGCAACCTGGTGGAACGCCGGGAGGCGTTCCTTGAGGGGGGGATCTGTCACGAATCACGTCTGTCAGTTAGGTTTTTGTGTCACTCTGTTCACTTGTTTTGGTTCTGGGGATTTACTCTTTTGTTTTTCTTTCTCTGCATGTGGGTTGAGGTTTGTCTTCACTCCTAGTTTAACGTTGTCTTCACTGCAGCCAGCAGCGCTGATTGCGCTCAACTGGCTGCACCTGTCCTCCTCTCCCTTTATAAGCTCACTGCTGACTCTTTTTCGGTGCCCGGTAGTTGAACACTTTTAGTTAGTAAATACCTCGCGCTCATGACCACGCTCTGTCCCTGTCCTGTCCTCTCAAGTCCTTGTATTCCTGTTTTACTCGTTTCTGTCCTCCCGTCGTTTCCTGTTCCCTTCCTCTCGGCTCGACCTCCCGGCTTCTGGACCCACGGACCTCCTGACTTCGTCTCTCGTCTGCTCCTTGGATTATCTCGGCATCTGATCATCGGTTCTGACCCACGCCTGCTCGACCACGTCTCTCAGATCATCCCCACCAGCTCTACTCTCCACCACTCGCTTGTTTTGGATCACGCTCGGTGCTGGAGACACCAACTTATCCTGCAGACCTCGCTGCAAGCTTCAGCTGCTGCCGACTGTCGTCTCTCACCAGACCCAGCTCCTCCAGCAGTCATCCGGGTCAGCTGGACCCGCTTCAGCGCTTCAGAACCCCCATCATCACTGAGACGGTTAGTGGTTGTTTTTTCATCTGACTTTGTCTTCACTCTCGTCACTTGCACAACCACTAACCGTTCTCCATCTTTAGACTGTTCGTGTGGATCGGTGATTGGAACCTGGAACCGGTCCACAGTCTGCGAAAGCTTGCCGAGGTCCATCCTGCCGTTTTCATCAGTTAATAAACTTTATTTAATTGATTTTTGTGGTGGTGATTTTGGTCCATTATACGGGGTTCGTTACAGGTGTCTGGCTTTTGATGGCATCAGCGGACGCGAACAGCTTACGATCCAATTATATGGCAACATGGCTTGCCATACAATCACCAGCCGCATGCGGCCATTTGACTGCGCGCTGACCGGCCTTGAAAGGGGTTCAAAAAAGTTAAGTTAAGCTTCTGATGCTGCTCTCAGTGGACGTGCGTGACCGATGACCCAAACAGGTGAAATCCCAAAATATCCTCGCAGACATGTCAGAGCAGGGTCCATGCCTGAATAATGCAGAATGCAGGCAGAAGCAGGGGTTTAATGCACTTTGATGGCCATGAAAGGACAAACACTGCCTCAGCTCCGATCTTCTACCCCCTTTATTCAGCCGTGTACATCCACTGACCGTTAATAATTATATAAGCAGTCGAAGCTTAATTTAAAATGTCAGGGATTTTTCAGGTTTGGACCTGTAATTACTGTTAATTCATCGGGTCAAGTCGGGTCGGGTTCGGAAATGATGGCTACGGGCTGGGGCCGGGTTGGGTCGGATTTTTAGGGCCTGAATGCATCTCTAGTTAGATTTGGTTCAGAGGAGCTGCCTGTTTAATTCTCCATAGCTGTTGATTAAAGACGCCTCTTTAGTTACACCAAACCTTCCTGTAGTTGAAGAAATGGGATGTTGTCCCAGGAGTCACTGTAGCAACAACATGCAGCTTTTGTCTTTCTCAAAGAGATTATCATTTTATGTTTCATATGTTTAAATGTATTGGGGTCAGTGCTGATAAACATTAATAAGGACAACAGCTGTCTTTAATATCAGACACTCTTTGTGGTTGGTTTTCTGATCTGGTTATATTTTATTTTGTGGATAACTTTACAGATGAAACTATATTTTTTCAGTTAATATTTATATTATCCATGTCAGGTGTGTTATTTGTGTAGCCTAAAGACCAGAAGCAAACTCTGAGGATGTTTTTTGAGTATTAGAATGAATCAAAAGTATTTAATTAAACCTAGAATTCCTTGAAGGATTGCATGCCCCCTGATGCCCTGCTGTCAGGATTTTCGAGGCAGGAGCGAACCCAGTAGTGCAGACAGGGACTCAACTCAGCAGAATACAAAAATAGGTATTTAATGATAAATAAAGATACAAAATAACAGGCTGACGGGGCAGCAAAACTTACATAAACAGGAAGATAAGGCACGGGAAACTCAGGAGGACTCAGGGGACTCGGAAGACTCAGGGAACTCGGAAGACTCAGGGAACTCGGAAAACTCAGGGAACTCGGAAGACTCAGAGAACTCGGAAGACTCAGGGGAACACAGGAGACCCAACGAGTACGACGCCACAAAGAACAAGACTGACAGACGGCTTATATACAGGGACAAGACGAGACGTGATTACCAACAGCTGTGACGAGACAAGGGTGGCACTAATTGAACTAAAGAGAAAACACTAGGGAACACAGACACAAACCGGGCCACCAAATGGTACCATCCTTACAGTACCCCCCCCCCCCCCCCCCCCCCC